CTTGAAATGTTTGTATGTTTGTAGCTAGCTATATATGATATAGTATAATCTATATGGAGAAGAAAAATTTAGGAAAAAGAAAAATTATGAAAACTAGGGTTGTGCACTCTCAACGTGGAACTTGGGGTTTCATTTGGATCGATGGATTTGAAGTTAAATGAATGGAATTTAAACTCATTAAAATGAAGTCCAATATTAATCAAAGTGAATACTAGGTTTCCAAATCTTGATGAAGTTAAATGGTTTGATCTTCTTTTCTTGAGTTGTTTAATACATGATTATAACACTTCTTTTCTTAATTAACTACAAATTTTTGCAACTCAAAAAACTTAATGAATAGTCAACCATAATTTTTTAAAGAATATGCATAATATCAAAAATAATCTAAACAAAAGCATGACATTTCATTGTACAAATATACATTTTTATCTGAAAAGTACAACAGTCGATCTGCATAACCATTAGGCTAGCTGCCTCAACAAAATTTGCTTTCAACTAACATTTTTCAAAAATTAAGTTGTATACTTCCACTTCCGTTACAATAAACTAGAAAATTAAGATTCTAATATATACACTAACCCACTAATCACACATATATCCAAATATTACACACTTGAATAGTAATTTATTATGTAATTACACAATTAATTAACTTTAATTTGTTTATAAATTAAATTTTGACAGGAGGTCCCCGAGTTCCAAAGAGCCGATGCAGCCAATAGTTTGGTGTACGAAGCGAATGTGAGGCTTAGGGACCCAATCTACGGTTGCATGGGTGCAATTTCTGCTCTTCAGCACCAGGTACAAGCCTTGCAAGCAGAGCTCAACTCTGTTAGGGCCGAGATTCTAAGGTACAAGTACCGCGAAGCTGCCACCACAATCCTTGCCGCCGAGCTGCCCCAGGCTCCGCCTACTCCGACACCTTCTCAACCGGCTCCAGTGGGGCCCACGGCTGGCTTTGGTGGCGGAATCTCGAATAACAACGTGCATTTACCGTATTTCGATTAATATTAACAATGTTCGATCGATATATATATAGCAGTTTAATGTATTTTATGTACTTTTTTTTTTCCTAAAAAAATTTTCTAGTTCTCTATTTTCATGCTTGTTGTGTGGATCAATTTTCTTTGAAATGTAATGCACTGGAATTAATTAATTAAAAGTGTGGAGACTTTTAGTTTTTAACCATGTTATTATATATTTATAATTGGGTTGATGTTGTTAGGTTTATAATGCCATGGAAAATTTTGGTTGACAAATTATGGTAATGGAAGTCGTACTAGCTACCAAAAATAAATATTAATTATAGGGATATAAAATGTCTTTATTTATATTATATTTTAAAAATTATTGTTGGATATCCAAAATATATTTTATGGACGCATCAATCAAACCATATAGATTTTCATCTCGTATTTTATAAACAAGCCAATTTGGCTTGTTTAGCAATGCTTATATATTGACCTATCATTTCTAATTACCTATATATAGTTACAACTAATTGAAATTTGTATTCTGTTGGAAAATTGTTAGGCAAACTTAATCGTTAAATACTCATGTATTTTTTGAACAAGCACTCATAATTTCATAATTTAAACAACTATTTTGATTATATATTTGATTATATATATATATATATTAATAAAAATATAAAATTATTGTAACATAAATGTATATTTTTACATAAAAAAAATGTGAAGGAAACTTGTCCAAACACTTCCCTAGATTGCACGGGGTGCCAAAAGCTTTGACTGAGCAGTAAATTAAAGACTGTAAACATATTAATCTGTGTCACTTTAATTAAGGGAGCTGAAATTGATATTGAAAAGAGGAGACAAAATGCATAGTGTTTGTGGTGCCCAATGCATTATTATAAATTTACAAGCCTAATTAATTAAATTAATTAATATTAATAATTACTTGGACTCCATTTAATGAGTCAGATAGTTGCACGTGCTGTTCTCACGTGGGACAGAACGACTTCAAGATTTGCAACCACAACATGAAACTAATTAAAATGAAGGGCATTCAATGTCAAAATCACGGATGAGTCAATTTAATTTAATTATGTCTATCTGTAAAGTAAATCACATATATATAATACCTAGTAACCTAGATATTTTACCTTACCATGTCAAAAGTCAAATTACTACAAAGTTAAACTTTGGATTATACATTTTTGTAATTAATAAACCGACTAAAAAGTCATATTATGCAATCAATTTTTCAAATAAAAATGTTATAAAAGCATTTTATAGTATAAATATTCATTTTTATTAAAAAAATATGACATGTCGACTCGCCTCACGTTTAAACCTACTCATGCAAAAATCTATTTTCCAATAATAACATTAAAATGTTGAGAATTATTTAGTATTTCATGACAATTGATTGTGATGTTTATGTAGACAAGGCTGTCTTAAACATTTTGTCAATTTCAAGACCCTGCCATTGTTTATACATAAGTTGACTTTTCAGCACAAAAATAAGGTATAATTATTTCAATGTTTGTGTTTTCAACAAGATTTTGAATGTAGAAAGAGAGGGTTGGGTATGTCCTTTCAAGTATAGGGTGCTTTCTGTAGAAATTTTGGAGTAAACACAAACATTTTTCTTGCTAGATAAATATTAAATAACATTAATTAATCAGTGAATTTTTTTTTTAGCCAAGTAGAAATGTAAAACATAAATTTTAGCCATGTTGTTGGAAAAACATCTTTTTTAGCCATTTTGGCACCTAAAAATACCAAAATACCCTTACTATCTATTTTTCTTAAAAAAAAAAATTAGAAATCGTCAATTTCTGGGGTCCAGAAATAATTTCTGGACTCCAGAAATCCCAAAAATCCGAAAAACGATTTCTGGGACCGGAAATTGATTTCTGGACCCCAGAAATCGTTTCTGGTTCCAGATATGCCAGAAATCGTTTATGGACCCCAGAAATCGTTTATGGACCATTTCTGGAGCCCAGAAATCGTTTATGGACCCAGAAATCCTAAAAATTCGTTTCTGGACCCCAGAAATCCTAAAAATTCGAAAAACGATTTCTGGGACCGGAAATCGATTTTCGGTCCCAGAAATTCAAGAAATGATTTATGGTCGCAGAAATCGTTTCTGGACCCCAGAAATCGTTTCTGGTCCCAGAAATGCCAGAAATCCCAGAATTAATTACTGGTCGCAGAAATCGTTTCTGGATCATTTCTGGAGCCCAGAAATCGTTTATGGACCCCAGAAATCCCAAAAATCCGAAAAACGATTTTTGGGACCAGAAATCGATTTCCGTCCCAGAAATTCAAGAAATGATTTCTGGTCGCAGAAATCGTTTCTGGTCCCAGAAATGCCAGAAATCCCAGAAATGGTTTCTGGACCAAGAAACGATTTCTGGTCCCCTGAAATCTCAGAAATCCCAAAAACGAATTTTGAATCATTTATGGATCCAGAAATCAATCCAAGAAGTTGGTTCTGGTTCAAATTTTATTTGTTTTATTATGTAAGACATTGACGCATGTATAAGACATGTTCTTTTTTTACATTGTCATGTCAAAAATATGTCAATTGGAAAATATGTAAATTCAACAATCATACATGTATGCTCTACCTCAGTCGCTCAGCCGCTAGAGGTATATAATGAGTGACCAGGAGCGTGATAATAGTACACCAAGTCAAATACAATAAAGCACAAAAGTCTCATAATGTCGCGTATGACTTCGTTTACAAGGATCATAATAAATCTTAGGAACTTTTGTCTGGATATTTTCATATGTTGATGAGAGGAAATCCTAGAAACACCACATGCTATGAGACAAATGACAATGTTGTGTTCATATACGCATTCGTTGCCTTACATACTTCCAACGAATTCACTAATTGTTGTGTACTCAAGTGAAAGTTGGGTACTCAAGTGAATTTTTCATGTATTGGAATATTAATAACAACGGAAGCATATAGAGTTGGGTACTAAAATTGAGGTACTAAAGTGAATTTTTCATATACTGAAAGTGCGAAACACATACAACATACGTATGAGGTTATCATCCATCTCCCCGCGTATACAATCAACTTAAATTATCAACACAAATAGAATTCATCAAATACACACGAACAAACCAAAAACCATCCATATAATACTGTTAATGGCTATCACTCCACTAACTTGGTAAATCAACAGTGGCACAAAAATTTCAGCATGCTTCCAAATTAACTCTTTCTTCTAATATAAATAGATAGCACAGTAATTATAACCCGATTTATGCACCGCAATTCATGAAATCAGTCTCTTCCCAGCTGAAAAGCAATAACACTACAACTTTCTACTAAATGTTAATTTAAAGTAACTGCAGCTGCTTAGTTTTTTTTTATTTTTCAATGCACTACGTTAATCATGTTAATTATCTTTTTTGACATGAAATTTGTTAATTACCTTTTTTGACATGAAATTTGTCTTAGACATTACAGTTTCACCTTAGGTAAGAGGCACAAAGTGAAGTCCATCGGACCATCATAAACAAGCAATTTACAGTTAAAAAGTTCAAAACGAAATCCTTATTCTGTGAGTTGCATATATCTTTATAATCAAAGTATCTATCAGCACATATCACATAAAAATTCAGCCCAAATTCATCCTCAAACGCAATATACAGAGCCTCGAATGAACCAAAAAAAAAAAGAAAAAAGAACGATAAAAGATAAAATCTAAAACGCAATTTCACAGGGAGCATGAAATGTTCGTCCACGGCAGATGGCCTCCAAGTTCTCTCCAGCATACGAGCAAAGAGGCGAAACTTCCACACCTAATCATTCAAAACACAAAATTCCATTTTTTCAGTTGTACATTCATTTGTAATGACCAATCAAAATACAACAACTATTCTATTTTTATTTTTATTTTCTTTTTCTTCGGAAAACGAGAAAGACTACCAGTAGCATATAGGGGCACAGAATGAGTCAAGAAGCCTCCGGCAGCAACCACCCAACGAGCATGCAAACGAAGGACAAGCAGACGAGCACTGTCTGGAGTGTCGAAATTTGATCCATTCGCGTTTTTCACGGGTGCAAATTCTTCTTCGCGCAAAACCTATACATACAGATGACAAATTCAATGTCTTTTTATTCAAAAACTATGTATTCTAGATTCTTTTTCTATCTGTTAATTCGAAAGCACGATTAAAGAAGTAACAGTATGTACCTCGTAGAGTGCGGTGGAAGGCGCATAAGGAAATGCATCGAATATGAATTGCTCTAATTTGAATCCTACAGTGTGTCCATGGATTGAAGGAATATTCTTTTCTGCAAGATGATAACTGCACTCAAGGAACAAACACCAGATATATGTTATTCCTTTGTGTTTGTGTTCGTGTGAGTGAGAGAAAAGAGAGAGACTGACATGCTGTCTTTCTCAAGGCCGTTTGCTACTTGGTTCAGAAAATCTAAAGTGAACATGTGCAGGCAAACCTGAAATGATAAAGGCCACATTTGAAATTGGTTTATTCAAAAAGTTTCAAACTTTTATTTCCCAAAGACCCATAAAGGGGAAGAAACTCAAAAAAAAAAAAAAAAAAAAAAAAAAAAAAAAAAAAAAAAAAAAAAAAAAAAAAAAAAAAAAAAAAAAAAAAAAAAAAAAAAAAAAAAAAAAAAAAAAAAAAAAAAAAAAAAAAAAAAAAAAAAAAAAAAAAAAAAAAAAAAAAAAAAAAAAAAAAAAAAAAAAAAAAAAAAAAAAAAAAAAAAAAAAAAAAAAAAAAAAAAAAAAAAAAAAAAAAAAAAAAAAAAAAAAAAAAAAAAAAAAAAAAAAAAAAAAAAAAAAAAAAAAAAAAAAAAAAAAAAAAAAAAAAAAAAAAAGAGGAAATTGGGGTGTGGACAATACATTACTCCAACAAAAGCGAAGTCGGCCAGTTGTCTGATTGATTGCACTTGCTAGTGATGAGTCCATTTCACTGTACTCAACCACAGAGATGGGTCCACCTTTACCTCGTTGAACAAAAACACCAACTTTCTCTTGTGGGTCCACCTTTACCTCGTTAATTAATTTGGTTGTGATTATTAAAACAATATAGGTTCCCCAACGTGGGTTGTCTTGTTTTGTCCATATTTTTGTAAAAATTGCATCTCGTAGCACGATATTTTCAAAAGTTACACTTTTATCACGATTTTATTTTTATGGTAAAATAATACGTATACGACCTTTAATTTTTTATTTTTATTTTTTCGCGGAACGAAGTACATGTCTACTGCACGAGTTGCTCCGCCCCACCACACGGGCGGGTCTCGGTATGGGCTATCATGTTACCCGGCCCATCTCTAGTTATGGGCCATTTTGGTGGACATGTTCAGTAATTTTGCCTAACCAGCCCATTGGACAAGCACATGTCATTTCACCAAACCGGCCCATTAGCATTTTTCAAACCGGCCGGTCGACTGCACTCCCACACCAACACAGCATCGTCAAAATCAAGGCTGCTTTTCTTCGCCGGAGATTATGGATCCATAAAATGGAGCGACCACGCTTGGTGGAGGGTGGAAGGCTAGAAGCTTCACTGCTTCAAATGGTCGACGATCACAATCGTGCTTCCGTTGAACTTCGAGAACACACCGGTCAGTTTTTGCCTAGATTGAAATTTTTCGCTTCTTTCATTTGTCAATGGTCTGTTGTTTGGGAGTTTCTATTATCGATTTCGTGCTTTTCCTTCCTCTTTCTTCGATTTTTGATGGTTTGTGATGGAATCTGGAGCTCGAAATTCGGTGTTTGATTTTTGCCTGTTGCTTTTTCCCCTCTTTTTTTGGGTTTATCAAATTAGAGAGAGCTAAAAGAGATGCTATTCGGAAGGCAGCGCGGGTGTCGGATCTACTGGTGAACTCGGTTAACGGCGGAGTGCAGGAGATCTTCGTGAACGAGAAGCGGATTGAAATGGAAATCCGAGCACTGGCGGCGACCATTGCGCGGTTCTCGAAGCAGACCGAACGGTGGCTCGCAGCTTCTCACGCCATCAACAATGCCGTCAAGGTTCGTAATTCGCCTGCTTCGATTATCAGTTGTATTTTGTTCTGAGGCGAAGTCTCGCTTAGCTTCATTATCGGAGATGAAATTCTCTTCATTGAAACTATAAAATTCGCCTTTATGGCTACCATTACTCCTTGAGTTCTTGGCTTCAAACTTTCAAAAATTCCAATTTTTTCTGTATTTCCTTTTTCTGCAAATTTATTCTGTCCCCACGGATGGATCCGTAAGATGTTACTTCGAATTTTGTATATGTTGGTGTGCATTTGTTTATGAAATGTCGGTCTTTATTTACGATTATTCCTATTGGTATTTGTCACTAATTGATGTGTAGGATATCTAAAATAGACTCGGATGTTTCATGCTTAGTTAAGAAGCTAGATGAAGTTCTCATGTGATCTGCAAAGTTCTGTAGACTGTAAAAATTACCGGAAAAGGGCACATAATATGCTCCTAGTGTTTGAAGTGAGTGCATCGAGCATGACAGAAAAGAATGAAATGAAAAGTCGAGCTTCTGTAATTTTAATTTGTTATATGAGTTATCTGGAAACTTTACAGACCTAAGGTTCAGATTCTTGGGTGATCTGTGAACAAGAAACTCTGAGCCACATAAATCGAGATTCTCCAGACTTGTAATATTTTGGGGATCGGCAGCTGATGAATTGTGAGCCATTGCAGCTGGAAATTCATGTCTAACAGATAATGTTTCCCGTTTAGGGTGAAAAATGTTGCTTTCTGGAGTGCCTAACTTGTAGATGGGCTAATCTTTGAACAGCCACTAAAATATTGGAAAATTGAGTAATTTGTGGTGGCCATTTCCCTTGAAAAACGAACATCTTCTTTGCTTGAGATAACTCACACACACTCAAACAGAAACAGGCTAATGTAGGTTATGTGTCGACATGTCGTGTTTTTACACAGTAACTTAATTTCTTAATTCGAGATGATTTTTCTTGAGAGAGATTAATGAACTTTGTCAGCAGGAAATTGGAGACTTTGAGAACTGGATGAAGACAATGGAACTTGATTGTAAAAGCATCACTGCTGCAATCAGTAACATACACCAATCATGATCTAGTAAGATTTCAACATTCATTGTTTTATGTGTAAAAACTCATGTTATGCGTAAAAACGATAAGTTTCTTTCGGTTCATTTAGCTCATCTGCTTTAACAGGTGGATCAAGAAATGCCACAAGTTAGAACCACGGATTAATTTAATGGCTTCAAGCCCACTCCATATCGACAACTCGAAAGCATCAAAGAAGATTCTCATGGGTTTTTGGGATCATGAGTGAGCATCACTATCTCTTTAAAAAGTTTCAGGTCCAACATTTTTAATTTATCGTGATATTTTAGTTCTTGTACATTTTTTTAGTTTGAGACCCGGTCTGTAACTTGTGTTTGTATGTGGCACCAGCTTACGGAACATTTGATGTTATATTAAATTTTAGTTCTTTCTGTCGTGGAATATTTGATGTTATATTAAATTTAGGGTGAAAACATTTTGCTGGTTGTTAGACATTGTGTGTTATTGATCCTGCTCGAGCCTTTCAAACATCTTAACCAACCAAAAAGTAGTTTAGTGTGCAGTTGTGCAGTTGTGCTTATCAACCACACATATATTATCATCTATTCATAAGATTTAGATACAAATTCAACCCAAAAAATCCAATCATTTTTAACTCAACTATTTTTTTAACTCAACTTTAACTCAACCTCACTATCATCAATATTATCAACGTAATTAAATAATATCAATCAATAATTCTTACATATAACATCAATCTTAATTCACTATTCATCAACTCACATAATTTTAACTAACTATCACATCACATCTTCTCTCTCCTACTTTTACATCAATTTAATTTTAATCATTTTATTTTAAATATTATTTTAATCATTGGTAATATTGGAGATAGTATTGGAGATAGTATTTAATTATATTGGTTGATATTGGAGATAGTAGAGTTGAGTTAAATTTGAGTTTTGAGTGAGATATTTACTGTTGAAATTATATACAATCATGCCCTAAGTAGCTAGAATTTTCGTTTTTAGTTAAAAAAAATTAATTGGGTACATTATAGGTACTAGGTAGTAGTAATTTTATTTACAATTTTTTTTTTTTTAAAAAAAATGTCATTTGTTTTGCCAAATTTATAATCTGTATCAAATTGGGTTTTAGTAGCCTGGATGTCATCCCTCTTAGAGACAAAGAAATAATATAGCGAAATAATATTATGTGGATATTAATTATATGAAGAAACATAAGATAAAAAATTACTTAATTAAATACTTTATTACCAAATCACATGTTTTGAAAAATCAAAAAATTATTTTTGATTAATATCAAAAATATTTGTTATAGCTTATCTAATACCATTGTTTTCAAAAGTGTAAGAAAGTGAGAAAAATATCTGATATATTATTCACAAAGATGAGTACACATATATGTAGATACATAGATGGGCCTTAGCCTAAGTTGGGCCTAAACCTAGTTTATAGTACAAGGATACATTTTACATAATTAACACCCCCCTCAAACTCAAGGTGGTATCGTGGAGATCAACTTGAGTTTTCTAAGAAGTAAACAAAAGCGACCGAGAAGGAGAGACTTCGTGAAGACATCCGCGGGTTGATCTGTAGAGGAGACGGGAACAAGATTCACAGTCTCATGTACAACATGCTGTCGAATGAAGTGACAACCAATCTCAATATGCTTGGTGCGCTCATGAAATGTATCATTATTATGAGACATCTTTATAGCACTCTGACTATCACAATGTAAAGCAGTAGACGACGACTGAGGTGCACCAAGATCAGCAAGTAGTCGACGTAACCATAATAGCTCAGAGGTGGAATCAGCAAGAGCACGGTACTCAGACTTAGCACTCGATCTGGAGACTAAAGTTTGCTTCTTACTACGCCAAGAGACGAGTGAATCACTCAGAAAGAAGTAGTACCCAGCAATGGAACGACGATCAGTAGGATCTCCAGCCCAATCTGCATCAGAATAGCCGCTAAGTGTCAATGAAGAACGGGCCGAGAAGTGTAAACCATGCAATAGAGTGCCCTTCACATAGCAGAAGAATGTGCAACACAGCAGAATGATGCGTGGTTCTTGGAGCAGCCATAAATTGACTCACAATATGAACAGCATGAGCTATATCAGGGTGAGTGACAATCAAATATATCAAACTCCCAACAAGCTGACGATATAACGTATGATCCTCAAGAAGAGAGTCATCCAGTGGAGTAAGACGAACATCATAATCAAGAGGTGTGGAAGCTGTCTGACAATCTGTGAGAGCCATCACAGTGTAGCTCGACATACTATTTTTTGCTATTTTACTTTTGTATTATTCTCACGCTAAATTATAAAAAAAAAATGATAAAAATTGGGTAATGTCTTGAAAAAACAATTGAAAAAAAATAAAAAAATTGATATAATAATTTTGAACTAAGTGCTTTAAATGAAATTAACAACTCACATCTTTGTATTTTGATGGCATAAATTCAATTTAATTTTGAATTTTATTGTTTAATAACCATATTAAGACATCTTGATTAAATATTGTAAATAATAATACTTGAATATTATTCTCTGTATTTAATAATTTAAAATAAACTATTATTTGACTTACTAATTTTTTTCACTATACAAAGAAAAAAGGTAATATTTTTCATAATGTCGAATGCCACTTTAGCTTACCCAAAACGCACACTTCCTACATTCCACACACAATATAAGAATCGAAAGGACAATTTTCAAAATACTGCCCGATACATCACAGGGGTTTTTAGGCTGAAGCTCGTGAGGGATAAATCCTTACCTAATTGTGCTTCTCTCCACCATCAATGGCGGAGAGTTCTTCGGCTCCGCCGAGCACTGGCAAGCCAGTAATTGTTAGGGTTAAACGGAAAGCTTGCCAATCGGCCCTCGATGCTTTTTGTAAGTATTGGTGTTTGTGTTCAAAAGTATTTCAGTCACTTCACTGCAATTCTTAAGCATGTTCTTGGATTCTGAGCGGTGACGTTTTACCCATTTTTTTTTTCTACCCATTTTTTTTCCCTTCCCAGGGCTGGAGATTCACGAGAGGCCGTTAAAACGACCTTTGCTCGACTTTGGTAATCTATCAATATCAGATGATTCCTCGAGTAAAGGTATGTGATTTTTGTAACTTTAAGATGCGCTGGATAAGCATTGTGTTCTTGTTAATGTTTTGATTCAGAGGGCGTGAGAACATGAGCTAAAGCCTAGGAATAGTGTATTTTGCAGTGAAAATATATGTAGAACTTATATTGTTTTATGTGTGGAAGTTTGGTGAGGAGTGTCAATTAACATCTCCATACTTCTTAAAAAATTCATAAAATCCTAATGAATATAACATATTATCGTGTTGGTTTTGCTGTAATGAGCTACACATATGAATACCTAATTCTAAATCACGACTTTGTTGGTTTTGTGTATACACATACAAAAGTGGGTGTTTAATGATGGGTTTGTGTTCTGAAGCTTAACTTGCTAACTCTGTTTGATATTTTTGGGTTTGTGTGACATGTTGTAGCGAAGGAATTAAAAACTAAGAAGATTCTTGTACGGCATGTGGAGACTGTATCTAGCGCTGAGAGTACATTTGACGTGCTGCGATCTTTTGTGGTCAGTTTTCCTGTTTCCTCATAAATATGCAATTGGTTTGTGTCACAATGACACAATAAAAATATGTGCTCCAATGTGCTTATGCTGGTACTAAATTTTATGGTGATACATTATCTTTTGGATTGATGGTTACCTTGAGTCCTCTGATTGTTTATTTTTTGTTTAACAGCCTAATTTGTCTGGTGAGTCCAATTCTGCTGAGAAAACTGAGGGAAAACGCAGTTTTAAGACTGTAAATGTAAGTGCTCTCTCATCATTTGCTTATGGATGAGGTAACAAACTCTTGTCCGCTTAACACCATTACTCGTGCCTGCTTGTCTTAGCCAGGCACATTTTTATTGAAGTCTAATTAGAAAACAGACTCCTATATAATGGACTTTCCTATTATCATTTCCCTGAAATGGGCTCTTGAAGGAGTGACTTACTCAAAAGTCTGTTCCAACACATCATTACTTCCAACAAGCACTTTATTACTTTATTTGTCCCAATGATATGCTTCTCTTCATTCTGTCAGTTTTTCCTTTGGATTGGTGTTTTGTTTTCATTCAGCTTCCGACTTTTGTAGAACTTTGTATTGTTAAAGATAATAGATCAAACTTGATCATTACTTTTTGAGCATCAACACTGCTAAAATAAATCAAATTTGGTCCTCGGCTTATGGAAACGAATTATACTTGATGCTCAACTTTAGTGTTTCTCTATTCTGTGATTATTTCTTTTTATTGGAAAAAAATATGTTAATCATTCTGTAATTATATTGTTGAATGTTGAGGCTAAGTTAAGACTTGGGTACTCAAGCAGCTATGCTTTTTATCTGTATAGCATTAAGTTGCTAACCACTGCTTTCAATTTAATGTGTGCAGAAACAGGATCAGATGCTGGTAAAAGCGAAAGAGAGTCAAGAGGTACTGTGCATATGAATTCTTCATGATTTATGGTTCATAAACTTTTCTTATTTGTTTTTCCCTTCATGAGAACCCTAAATTGTTTTTCATTAACTGCTCGTTCTGAGTTAACATTCTTCATGCATGCACCTGAACTGTGGGTTTGCTTTGCTGGTTAGCTCATATCTGCTTACCATGCTATTTTTCCGGCAACAACCATAATATTGCATTGTTTGTGAACTTAAGACCCCTTTCTGTTATTTGTACCTTTTTCAAAGTGGGGAAATGAAACTGGAGTTTTTTGTTTTTTGTTTTTGTTTTTTGTTTTTTTTTTGTTTTTTTTTTTGTTTTTTTTTTTTTTTTT